GCTGCCTCCGGTGCCCGCGGGGGCTTTGCCGTGGGGCCGGTCTGGGCTCCCGGGGGCTGGAGGGAGTTCCCGTCCGGTGCTGAACGTTTAGGGGGGTCTTTTCTGGGATAGAACCCTGCTCCTGGGGGGGAAGGTTTGAAATCCCCCAACATCAGCGGTTCCCGACAGGAAAACTGGAGTGTTTTTCCTTTTAAAGCAGTATTAGTTTAAAACAAATGGTTGTTTTAATATTGAGCTTTATATTTGTGAGCCTTTGGAGAAGTTACAACTTGTCTTCCCTGGCTTGGGAAACTTTTAAAATTGTGTTCTCTCTGCACATCGTTGTGGGTGAGAATAACTTATTTTGTTGTAGCTCAGTCTGGGACTAGAAAATAGGTTTGTTCTTAACATGCACTGAAAGGGTGAGGGGGTTCCAGCAAGGCTTTGACAGGGAGAGAATCCTTATTTCCAAAATCTTCTAAAATGGGGGATTTTTTGGAGGTGGGACTGTGTTCTGCTCAGTGCCTGCAGTGGGTGCTGTGGCAGAGCTGCAGTTGGGGTCCAGGAGCTGTGGCAGAGCTGCAGTTGGGGTCCAGGAGCTGTGGCAGAGCTGCAGTTGGGGTCCAGGAGCTGTGGCAGAGCTGCTGCCAGCAAACACCGTGGTTGCCCATCCCTCCCCTCTGGTGGCCCAGTGTGAGGTCATGGGGAGCAGTAACAAGCTGTGAGTGTCCTGGGTCTGTCTGGTCCCTGGTGCAGTCCCTGAGCATTGGTGCCAGCACAAAGTTCTGGGGTGGGGAAGGGGACAGGGTTCCCCCTTAGGCTGGTGTGAAGCTGAAAACCAAGCCTGGGTGGCTGGACAGAACATCTGCTCAGCGCAGGGCACAGGTCCTGGCCCCACAGGCTCACAGCTGGACAGTTGCTGCTCATTGCCCCAGTGGGGCTCCTGCTGTGCACAGCCTCCCTCTTCCCATCTTCAGGAAGGCTGGACTTGATGATCTTAAAGGTCTTTTCCAGCCTTGGTGATTCTGTGAACCACAGCAGCAGGGCTGGTTGGGTCCCCTCACAGGTTGGAAACAACTCAAATCCCACGGAGGTCAAGAGACCTCTAGGAGACAAGTGTTTAGTGTTGGGTCCTCCTTGTGTCCCAGTGCAGCACGTGCTCTGCTGCTCCCTGTTGGGTGTTCTCACAGCCTTTCCCTTTTCCCTAGGCTCGGATGGAGGTAGATGCTGATGGAAATGGTGCTAAAATATTTGCTTATGCGTTCGACAAGAACCGCGGCAGGGGATCCGGGCGCCTCCTGCACGAGCTGCTCTGGTGGGTACCAGGGGGAGAGCTGAAGCTTCAGGGGCTCACACAGATGGAGGTTTGCTGCCACCCACTTGTCTGTTGTTTATTTCTCTGCCTGCAGTATTTGAAGTCTTTCAGGAGGCTTGCAGCTGGGAACCCAGCACAGGTTTGCCCATAGATCTTGTTAGGGTTTGGTTTTGCACTCAGCCTCCCGACAGCTGAATCTCCATAAAAACCTTATTCCCAGGGAAAACAGTGATGGGTGAGTATCATTCTGGTAGAGGCTGTTTCAATCTGAGAAGTGCTCCTGAAACTTCAGTGCAGGGGACTGGCTTCACTTGGTGGGTTGAAGACTGACCTTGTGAGCCTTTTTTTTGGTCGCATGATAGTCGGGTATGTCTTCTTGGCACCAGGGAGAACTGGCAGAGCACTGGAGAGAGATAGAACCTCTGATAACTTAAAAGTTTTTTTGTTTGGCTCTGGAAAGCTGCCTCAAGTGGTGCTGATGATCCTTCCTATCAGCTGCTATGTCTTATTTTCCATATTCCAAGAGTTGTTTCTGGTTACCCTTTGTAGCTGCCAGTTTAGATTCAAAGTGAATTTACTGGCTTGTGAGAGATTAGCTCAGCCAGGGAGCTAATGTGTTGCTCATGGGTTTGTAGGAAAGACAGGGTATGCTGACAAGAGCTCTTATCTCTTTTAAAAGCATTATTAGATAAATTAAGTATGTTTTCTGTTCAGTTCCATAAACTAGACTTAGTAGTCAAAATACTGAGGATACAGCTTCTTGTTCCATGTGCTTTTGTTCCAGGTTTCTTTTTCATCACCAAACTAATCCCTGTACAAGAGGAGGCAGACAGGAAGCATATCCAAGACTATTATTATTTACAGTCTGCTCATAAAATATGGATTTTAACCTGCACCTGTTAATGTTTAATCTTGTTGCAACTATAACTTTGAAAATTACTACAAAGTTGGCTACAGTATGTAAATCACTGTCAGCTACTGCTAACTGTGAACCTCATACAGTAATAATTGTTGTAAGTAGCACTAATACAGCACCTTAAAATTATTCCAGCTGACTGTAAAAGGCTGTAGATGATGACAGTGCAGCCAGTTGCTTATTACACAGCTCAGTCATTGCCTCTTCTGGCTTGTTTTACCTAAATTAGGAAATAATTCTAACTTGTTCAGTTAGGTAATTCAGATTGTGTCACTCCAGCATGCACTGGTGTTAAAAAAAACAACAAAACAGATTCTTTGTGTACTAGTGGTATTTTGAAAGTCTCAGAGATGAGGTGTGAGCTGTCAGTCAGGTAGAGCTGCAATTCTGAAGTTGGCAAGTCAAATTCTTTGACTAGAAGATGCAAAGTATTTTGCTCTTTGAGTTAATTAAGTTTGAACCCTTTGAGAGTGTAGATTTCACTGTGATCTTTAATGACAAGCAAGCACCATGCAGGTCAGCACACCCTGGTGTCTTCAGAAAGCCTTTTGGCTGCAGGTGCTTGGTGGCCTCTGCCTTTGGAGGACAGGAGAGATGGGCAGTACAGTCAGTCCTCTCTGGTGTGAGCCTTGCTGCTTGGGGGAATTAGAAGCAAAGAACTTGATTTACTGCAGGTACAGGAGTGTAATTTAACTGTTCTCCCCCAAACATAGCCCAAAGAAGTCTTCTTACTGAAAAAAACGTGACTGTATGGTTTGCTTCTGGTTTAAGTCAGTAGGCCTGTGTTGGTGCTACTGCAAGTAAAGCAGATTTTAAATTATTTTTTAAAATTTAGTTAAACAGGCATCTTTGTTCACATAGTATGGACCTCAGGATAGGAAGTTGGTGGCCACCAAAGCTGCAGTGATGACAGGGACCTTCTCCCACTCCTCCCCCAAAGCCCTCCCCTGGACCTCTGCAGAGCATGAGCTGCTTGGGAACCACCAGCTGAAAAATACCCATGTTTGCTGCAAATGCTCTTTAGGAAGAACTTCCTGCAGCCTCTTGCTGTGTTCTCAGGGTGGACTGTTAGCTCCTCCAAAGCAGGGTTTGAAAGCCTCTGGCTGGGGACCTGCAGAAGGACTCTGTCATCTTCTTGCCCTGTTCCCTGTATAGATCCCAGCTGCTGTGTTTTGGCAGGGTGTAGTGATGTTCCCTGGGGAATAGCAGCATCAGATTAGTCATAAGTATCACTAACTGTGTGTTCAAAAAGACATCTAAGACCTGATTTTTCTTTTTTTTTTTGCAAAGTTGGCTACAGTATGTAAATCACTGTCAGCTACTGCTAACTGTGAACCTCATACAGTAATAATTGTTGTAAGTAGCACTAATACAGCACCTTAAAATTATTCCAGCTGACTGTAAAAGGCTGTAGATGATGACAGTGCAGCCAGTTGCTTATTACACAGCTCAGTCATTGCCTCTTCTGGCTTGTTTTACCTAAATTAGGAAATAATTCTAACTTGTTCAGTTAGGTAATTCAGATTGTGTCACTCCAGCATGCACTGGTGTTAAAAAAAACAACAAAACAGATTCTTTGTGTACTAGTGGTATTTTGAAAGTCTCAGAGATGAGGTGTGAGCTGTCAGTCAGGTAGAGCTGCAATTCTGAAGTTGGCAAGTCAAATTCTTTGACTAGAAGATGCAAAGTATTTTGCTCTTTGAGTTAATTAAGTTTGAACCCTTTGAGAGTGTAGATTTCACTGTGATCTTTAATGACAAGCAAGCACCATGCAGGTCAGCACACCCTGGTGTCTTCAGAAAGCCTTTTGGCTGCAGGTGCTTGGTGGCCTCTGCCTTTGGAGGACAGGAGAGATGGGCAGTACAGTCAGTCCTCTCTGGTGTGAGCCTTGCTGCTTGGGGGAATTAGAAGCAAAGAACTTGATTTACTGCAGGTACAGGAGTGTAATTTAACTGTTCTCCCCCAAACATAGCCCAAAGAAGTCTTCTTACTGAAAAAAACCTGACTGTATGGTTTGCTTCTGGTTTAAGTCAGTAGGCCTGTGTTGGTGCTACTGCAAGTAAAGCAGATTTTAAATTATTTTTTAAAATTTAGTTAAACAGGCATCTTTGTTCACATAGTATGGACCTCAGGATAGGAAGTTGGTGGCCACCAAAGCTGCAGTGATGACAGGGACCTTCTCCCACTCCTCCCCCAAAGCCCTCCCCTGGACCTCTGCAGAGCATGAGCTGCTTGGGAACCACCAGCTGAAAAATACCCATGTTTGCTGCAAATGCTCTTTAGGAAGAACTTCCTGCAGCCTCTTGCTGTGTTCTCAGGGTGGACTGTTAGCTCCTCCAAAGCAGGGTTTGAAAGCCTCTGGCTGGGGACCTGCAGAAGGACTCTGTCATCTTCTTGCCCTGTTCCCTGTATAGATCCCAGCTGCTGTGTTTTGGCAGGGTGTAGTGATGTTCCCTGGGGAATAGCAGCATCAGATTAGTCATAAGTATCACTAACTGTGTGTTCAAAAAGACATCTAAGACCTGATTTTTCTTTTTTTTTTTTGCATTTTTTTTTAGAGCAGTTCCCACCACACTGCCTATACCCTGCTCAGGTATGGCTCCTGTTGGCTGGAATTGCTGCTGGCTGCACCTGGCACTTCAACCACAGGGCCTCACTTCTCAATTTATCTTTTAAAAGACAAACAGAACAGTGTCCAGTTAATTCTCTGAGAAGTTCTGGGTGAAGCATTTAGCCTGACATCTCAGAGGGACTCAGGGGTGCTGAGGGAGGCAGGAGCTGCTGCTCTGCAGGAACGTTGGCTGCGTTACCCAGGCTGGAAGGGACTGGAACACCTGCTTGATGAGGAAAGGCTGAGAGACCTGGGGCTGTTCAGTCTAGAGAGGAGACTGAGGAGGGATCTAATTAATATCTATAAATACATGAAGGCATCAAGAAGGCAGGACAAGCTCTTGTCACTTGTGCCCTGGGACAGGACGAGGGGCAATGGATTCAAACTGGAGCCCAGGAAGTTCCACCTGAACATGAGGAAGAACTTCTTTCCTGTGAGGGTGGCAGAGCCCTGGGACAGGATGCCCAGAGAGGCTGTGGAGTCTCCTTCTCTGGAGCCTTTCCAGCCCTGTCTGGATGCCTTTCTGAGTGACCTGCCCTGGTTTTGGTCCTGCTCTGGCAGTGGGTTTGGACTCAATGATCTTGGGAGGTCCTCTCCAGCTCCTAATATTCTACTATTCTGTGATTCTGTGACTGTTTCTTCTCTGTCCCCTTCTGCAAGGAGAAGGCAGATTCCTTCACTGTACATCTCTGTAGAGGTCAGGGACAGGGGGGCTCCCTGTGCTGGTGGTTTTTGTCAGGGTTTGCTCATGGGGAGCTGTGGGTGCAGAGCTGGGCTCTGGGAGCAGTGGTTGGCATGTGCCACTGCTGGGACTTCCTGGTGTCACAGACTCTTGTAATCCTTCTTCTTTCCCCAAGTCCAACCTTTCTTAAACTCATCATCTAATAAATATAAAAAATATTTCTCAATTTGTCTTAGACTCCCCCTCATCCCTTTCCCCCCCTGGCTGGTTTGCTCTTGCTCTGAACTTCAGTCTCCTCCTCCCAGATTCCTCCTTCATATCTATCCCATCTCTCTTGCTGGCACTTTGTCCTGGTCTTAGTCTAAGAACCTTAACTCCTTCCCTGTCTTCATTTCTGACCAGTTCTCCTCTTCATCCACTTGGGCCCCTGCACCTCCTGGGTTCCTGCTTGTAGCCCTCAGGGTTCCTCATTTCCTTCACCAACCCTCTGGTAGCCTTGAACACCACAAAAGTAGCTTTTCCTCCCTTAAGGCATTTCAGCAGACTCCTTTCTGTAGTTTGCTTTTATGTGGTTTATTTTGAGCTTTTTTTTTTTTTCCCCAAAAAAGGGAGGATTTTACCCCTTTTACTTTCAAAGGGAAAAGCTTCTCCCTGCTCTGTGGAGGCCCAAAGGATTCCCTCCCTCCCATGGGAGGCTCCATGCTCTGTCCTCCTGCTGGGCTGCTGCTTATAGCCTCTCCAAGGGAATTTTACTCATTCAATTCTAGGAAGTTTGGGGCATTTGTGAATTTCAAGTGTCTTTCTTTCCCCCAGATGTGTAACTTCACCTTATCTGGATGGATTTTGACAAAGAAAACAAAAGACTACATCTTGCTTTGTCAGTCACTTTTAGGTGAATTTCCCCTGTTCTGGTGGATAATGCCTTGTAAAAGGAAAAAAAAAAAAGGGAATTTTTAAACTCAGACACATTGTATCTCTTCAAAATTGGGTGAGCTGCTTGAACTGGAACGTTCAGTGGACACTGAGCTGGAAGCAGCAGCCAAACCAGGCTTGGGTGGAGTTTTAAGTAGCTCTTGGAAGGGTCTCCTAGAAGGAAAGGTTGGGTAACCCTGGGACAGCCCTGTCAGTTCTTCATTGTCCTTCTTGATGCTGCCAGTGTGTTCTCTGTGATGTGAAATGAATCCTGGCATAGCTGACATGATTTCTGTCCAAGCCTGCGTTTCAGGCAGGATGGGAATTCCTGCAAGAAGTGCTATGGAAACTCATCCCGGAGTAAGGGTGCTTGATAGTGACCTTCATGAAATAGAGGAAGGAGAGATGAAAGGAAGGTGGAATGGGAAATGAGAATGGTTAGAAGGGAAGAGGGAAGAATCCCAGTAGGATGTAACGTGCAGCCATCCCCTTGCTGATAGTCCTCCTTGGTCTGACAAGTTTCAGTAGATGCCCCCTGGTCAGCCAAGGAGTTACTTGCTGTGTGTTACACACAATTAGAGTCTAAAAAGCCTTTGCATACTTGGTGAAACCACTGTCCTGTTCCTTTTTAAGAGACATTTATTCATAAATACCAAACTTGGCTTTTGCCAGGCCTGCATAAATGCGTCTGATAAGAGTTTCCTATTAAAATAATAAAGCAGTATTGGCACCTTCCAAGCCTATCCTGAGGAACACAATCATTACATGGGTGCTCTTGCAGTAACTGGAGCAGTAGTCTCCAGAACTTTCTTTGCAGTATGCTTCCAATTAAAATATACCATGATTGTCTTTTGAATAAACTCATTTATAATGGAAATAACCTCCTGGAAGAAGTCTCTTTCCTCTGGGAGTTGATAGAGCAGAAGTAGCTACTGTTGGCAACCTGAGTTTTACTGCAACTGTTTCAGGGACAGCAGACTGGAACCTTCTGGCATGAGAGTGGTTCTTCACGTTGGAGCTATGAGGTCTGGTTCATCACTGACCTTTCAGTTGGTTTTGTCTCCTCCAGGGAAAGACACCGGGGAGGGATTGCTCCTGGATTTCAGGTGGTGCATCTGAATTCAGTCACCGTGGACAACCGCCTGGACAATCTGCGCCTGGTTCCTTGGGGTTGGAAACCCAAAGCTGAAGAAATCTCTAGTAAACAAAGGTGAGTTGATGTTTGGCAGAGGGTTGCCATCAAAAAAGTTGTTGATTTTCCCTCCTTTAGTGATTTTAATCTAGTATGATCCCTTTTTTAATTTGTCCTTGAGCTGCTCACACCTCACTGTGTGTCTTAGCTTCCTGGGGAGCTGAGTTAATGTTCATGGTGGCTGCAAAGGACCTGTAACCCCATGGTGTTCCTATGCAGAGGTCCTGCTGTGCCAGGTGTTGTCACCACGGTGAGGCAGGAAGCCTGGGTCCTTGTGATCCTCTATTTGAGTTGAAACCAGAACAGGTTTCAGCTTCCATTGCCTTTCACTAGTAGGTTGGGGGAACTCCCTGCCTGCCATGTTGCACTAATTGAGCTAAGAGTTTAGAGCAGGTTGAACTCTAATGTCAGAGTGGATTTAGTTCGTCTGTGATGTAACACAGGCATCCCTGGTTTTGGCAGGAGACCCAGAGAGACCCAGAGACTTTGCTTCACTCTAGACACTTCTCTTGAAACACTTGCAGCACCCATGAGACAGTTTAGAGCTGAATAACCTGGTTTTGAGAAGGTGCAGTGAATGGCAGTGATGCTGCAATGATGCTCCCAGTGGTTCTGGGAGTTCAAGAACAAGAAGCAGACATCAGGCCATGTGCACAGACATCAGTTTGCTTGATGGAACTGCTTCTGCATAGTTACTTTAAAACTTGATTTTAACTTAGGCAAAAATAGCCCTGAAAAGATCCAATATGTGAGGAGCACGAGTAGTTTGAGGCTTAGCAGCCTAAATACAATGTTAACCCTACTTACTTGATTAGTTAATTTGGGATCAGTTTTCCTTATATGCTTCTTAAGAATTTATGGACCAAATTGGTCCTATGTTGTTCTTTTTACAGGGAACAAAGCCTGTATTGGCTGGCAATCCAGCAACTTCCCACAGACCCTATAGAGGAGCAGTTCCCAGTGCTGAATGTAACCCGGTATTACAACGCTAACGGGGACGTTGTGGAGGAGGAGGAGAACTCGTGCACATACTATGAATGTCACTACCCCCCGTGCACAATGATTGAGAAGCAGGTGTGTCCAGGAGTTGAAAGTGTGCTTGGCTGCCCTGTGTGCCTGGGGATTTGTTCCTTAAAATGGAAAGCTTCAGACGTGCCATGTAGTTGGTAAAACCCATCTTTTAAACTGTGGGTTTTAACTGAGGTTTTTGTCAGCCTGAATCCTCAGACTCTGCAATAATTTTCAGTCTCAGAATGTGGTTTTGACTTGGGGCAGTAAATGACCTGGTGGTTTTCAGGGAGGAGTGTGATTTCTGCAGATGTATGAAAAGCCAGGTGTGGAGGTGTTCCTCTAGGGACCCTGAGTGGGGATGAGCAAGCAGCTGGGTAAGACAAGAGAACATATTGTAACTGGTTTGGGGCAGTAGTGGAGTGAAACAAATAACATGCTTGACCTTTCATGAGCAGGGGGTGAAACAAGTAAAGCCACTGGTATCTGGGGGTAACTGGGAGGTGTGTATAGTCAGGGAATGAGATGTTGAAGGGCTGTGCTGCTTTGTCAGACAGATGTCCTTACCTAGGGGTAGGAAGGGCTTTTCCTGTGAGAACGAGTGCTGGGTAGGCTTAAATTGATGTGTTCCACTTTTTCCTGTGGGGAAATGAATGTTTGCAAGAACTATTTTAAATACCCTCCATTTGGAAAAAGAGTGAGCATTTCCTTTTATTTGAGTGCATAGGAAAGCTTCCTGGGTAACCAGGTTTGGCAGTGGCTGAGCTCATGCAGTCAGTTCTGAATGTAGAGGTGTGTGTGGCTGAAAAGAACTGAAGTTGGCAAAACAGGAGCAGCGTGAGAAAAAAACGTGAATGGATCCAATATTTTGCTTATAAAACCTGTTCTGTGAGAGCAGCATCAAAATCAAACAAATGTTCCTAGTGGGGTGTTCATGGCTGTGATAACAGCCTCCTGGGGAGGTGGTGCTGAGGGGCTCACTGGTGGTGTCTTGTCTTCTTCCTAGTTACGTGAATTCAACATCTGTGGCCGCTGCCAGGTCGCCAGGTACTGTGGGTCCCAGTGCCAGCAGAAGGACTGGCCTGCTCACAAGAAGCACTGTCGGGAGAAGAAAAGGACCTTCCAGCAAGAGCTCGGACCAGAACGATGACCGGGTGGCAGAGGCCTCTTAGCAGCAGGATTCCTTCTCAAAGGCATTGGACTCTTGCTTTTGCACAGTAATGACAGACTGCTTAGTGAAGCCAGAGGCACTGAAGAATTAAAAAAACAACCAACCAACCCTGTGATGCTTGAGCAGAATGGCTGACTGGACTAAGCCAGCTCTGACTGGTGCTGTGGAAAGGGATTGGGTCTACCCTTCCAGTATTATATTCTCAAGCAAAAAGACTACTGTGGAGGCTCCAGGCAGGAAGCTTCTCGTTATTTATATGTTAATACATTTGTAAACTCATGTACAGTTTTTGTTAGAAATTCTTGATAGGACTCATTAACTGTAACGTTCAGATGAGAACACGTTGTTGGCCTAAAAGTTTAACAAAAAAACAAACAAACAAAAAAAGTCATGTAGCAAAAGCTTTTCCTCCTGTGTGGCTAGAGGTGTCTGTGGCAGTGCCGAGGGCAGGAGGCTCCAACATCAGCAGGACTCTGCATGGAAGTTATACTTAAAACAACAAAAAATAGGGGCAAACAAAGTAAAGGTCAGAATGAATTGGTGTCTGCTCTCTCCAGCTTTCTCCCATTCCCTTCCAGCTGCTCTCAGAGGGGAGGCTGGAAATCCCTGCTGGGTGGGAAGCAGAGCAGCAGGAGCTGGAGCAGAGGGTGGGGAAGCCCCTGGGGTCTGTGCAGGCAGGCTGAGCACGGGCTGCTGGAGATCCTGCCCCAGCAATCCTGAGAAAGCTGAGTTAGCTTTCTTGTTGTGAAATAACCTTTTGTGGCTCAAGAAGCTGTCAGGAAGCTCAGGCAGGTGTGTGTGGATGTGGGGGCCCTTGTGGCTCTTGTAAGCAGAGCAAACACCCCAGTGACATGCAGAGATGTTGAAGTGACCTAATATTTGGTAATTTGAGTTATTTATTCACTAAAGAGATCCTATCAATCCAAGAAACACTTTTGTATTATTTTTTTTGTAATGTAGTAATGAGTAAAAATAGTATGGGGTGAGGATTTGGCTTGAAGAGTGCACACCTGTTATTCCATTCAGACATTTTTTAATGTATAATCTGAAAGATTTTTCTTTTTCATTTTTGCCTTAGAAGTACAAGGAATATCAGCTGAGTTTCCTGAAGATCTGAAGGGATGATTTAGTGCCAGGTGTTAGTCTTACTTCACAGTAGAATGTGAGCTGCTGAATGTTTAATACAGAGCCTTTCTTGGAGTGCTTAGTGAAATAGGTATTTATTTTTTTGTAAAAGCCATTAAGAATTTAGTTTTTCAATCAGGATTCACTTTGCCACTTCATGTTGCAATGTTGGTCTTGCTTGTATTCAATTTGTTAGAAAAACTGAACTGCTGTGGACTTCCAATATTACATTATGTTTCTAATATCTGCACAGGAAGTTCTTAATGATGAGTGTTTTGGGGGGGTTTTTGTACTTCGGCTTTAAGCTTCTTGGGAAATAACAAAGATCTGAAGTTTCCTGCTGGAAGTTCCCTGGGTAGGAACACTGTCAAGTTGCAACTCTTTAATTCATGGTTATACTGTAGCTTTTCTGTTCAGGCAGCCTAAAATGCCCTTTGGTGGGAAGAAGTCAAGCAGGACTTTTCCTAGAATAGGTGATACTTTTGGTTTTTGAGGAACCATTCAATTATTTGGTTTCCATGAACTGCACAGTTTGGGATGAATATAAAATGGGACATGAGGAATATAATTTATTTTTTTTTAATTTGAGGTAATCCATTGAAAAGGGCAGAAGTATTGAGGGGTTTTTCCTTGCCTGGTTCAAAGGCTGCTCTTTGTGACAGCAATTTTCTGTTGTGTTACCCTGTTGAGCAAACTGAAGTGGTGTCTTAGGGCATTTGAACACACGTGCAGCACCAAGCAGGGAAAATGGCCACAGTTAGTCCTAATGTTTGTGAGGTGGTTGCAGGGAGGACCAAGCTGGACTGGTGGGGCAACGTGTAGATTCCTCTTGAGCAGCAGAGGAAGGGAATGAAGGTAGGGTGAGACTTGAGCTAAAATGTCTGTTAAACTAGAATGGAGGGTGCTTGGGGCAATCCCCATCCCAGTGACTGTGGGAGGGAAGGGGTGAAATGGATGAGGAGGGAAGATTCTCACTAGGTTAGAGGGATGATCATCAACTAATGAAAAGTAACGAGTTGCCTGGACATCCTGAAAGGGCTTGGTGAAATAACACGGGTTCTGACTTCAGTGTGTGACCTTGGACTCCCCGCTGTCTCTGTCAGGGGAGGGAAGTGAGGATTCTGACTGAGGACCTCAGGAAGGTCCCTGGGGCAGCAGTGAGCAAGTCCCTGCCTGCAGAGCAGTTTTTCCCAATTAGTGTGGGATGTGATGTGAGCAACAATACTGGCAGCCACCAAGATCATCTGCCAGAGATCGTCCCTTTCTGTGGGGTGTGTCAGAAAGGAACTAATCACACCTAAAAGTGGCAACTCCCCTTCATACAGCCTATATGTTTTTTCAAAGAATGAAGGTCTCATGGAGTTCCTTCTTTTCTCATAAAGAAACTAGGTGGATATCCTCAGGTGAGCAAGTATTTAAAAAGCACAAAGCAAGAGTCCATGGTCATTTATCTTGGAGCAGGTCTGTGCAGTACTGGTAAATGAGCTGGCTTTCCCTGATGGAGATGCTCTTCATCTAAGAGGTTTCCTGCAGGGAAAAAACCCCAACTGCATCTCTATTCCTTGGTTCTCTGAAGCATGGGTACTCTTTGTACACACCCCTGGTTCACCTCTGGACCAAAACAAGGCTTAACAAGTCAGGTTTCCTGGGTAGGAACATCTGTTTAGAAGAGGAGGTCCAGAGGACTTCTGAGAGAGAGAGAAGGGGAGAGGGAGGGAGAGAGGGAGAAAATGAGAGCAGTGGGTTAGGATCAGGGTACTCTTCATAAACAGCCTGTTGTACAGCCATCTACCTCTGAACTGTGATGTCTGGCAAGCTGCTTGGGGATCCGCTGGTCTGCTTTTGGGAGACAGAATTTGGCTGCTCAGGCCTGTGCAGCCCTGCTGGCTTGGGTTTGTCACCTGCCATGTCCTTGTGAACACACGTGGTGCCTCGTGCAGCTGGGGGGGATGAACGTTCCTGCTGGTGGGTCACACCAAGTTGGTCTGGAGTCACCAGCAGTGGGTGAACATCTGTCTGGTGTCAGCCAGTTCCAGGAGGAACTTCCAGACCCTTTGGGAGGGTCTGGAGAAAGATTTCTGCCACAGTTGCTAAGTGGCAAACCCAGCTGATGTCAGGAACCCTCAGTGTGACTGGTGCTGGCTGTATCAGAGGGGTGCACATGCCATGTAAACAATCAAATGTTGACACCTTCCCCCCAGGAACTCTCCTTCATATCAAAACATGCAAAAGTCACAATTCAAACTGATAAAAATCATGGCTGGCTTAAGGAGCACAACATTTGAATTAAATGTATTGCAGGGCTCAGTGTTTGCCTTTTGAGCAATTTGAGCCTTTAATACACCCACAGATCTATATTTTCAAGTTTTCCTGGTGGTGATTTAATTTTAAATGCATCTAGGGAAAGTAAGAGAGGCAGGTACAAGACTGAAGTGCTTGCAGGTGGCACAGAGGCCATGGAAGAGCATGGTGGGGCCAGGAGCAAGGGGTTACCACCCACTGAAACAGAACTGAGAGGTCAAAAGGGGTTGGATGTGATTAAACAGCAGCATGAGGGATGCTTGCAGGGTAGGGAGAAATCCTTTGTAAACTGGTGTCCAAATGTAGAAGATAGAAAGAGTAAGATTTGGTAGATGAAGTGTGAAAAAAATCAAACTCCAAATTAATGAAAATGGAACATGAAGAAGAACAAGCAGGGGACAGTTGCTTGAACTTGGAAAATACACTTGGTCGTGACTTTAATCAAGGAACATTAAAAAAAAAAAAAAAAGGCTGGTTTGGGGCACATGCAAAACCAACTGTTTGAAAGATGGGAAAGGGACAGGTAAAGGGAGGTTGTTTTGGTGGAGGGAAGTCAGCAGCTGGATGGCTAATATATTAAAAAGTAATTGAGAAAAACTAATGAATCAGGGAGGTGACACTGATTCAATTATTCGGTGTCATAATAATGTAATAAAGGTTGGGTCAAGGATTGCAGAAGGATCTTACGAGACTGGCAGGTGAAATGCAGTGTCAGTAAGTGCAGCGTTGCTTGTGGGAACCCCTCACCCGCTGAGCCAGCGCTGGCAATCTTCACTCAGCAACGCTGGGTGAACCCTCTGGGTTGTGAAACCCCGTCCTGCAGGCGCGTCTGCCTGGGGAGCAGCAGCAAAGGGAGCCCAAGGGCAGGAGGGGGGAGCGGCGGCAGCGCAGCACGGGCTGCCCGGGCTGCGGGGGCCGGGAAGGGCAGGGCAGGAACGGGGCCCCTCCGTGCTCCGAACAGCACAGAGACATCAGTCAGGTCTCTCCTTCGGGACAGAGAGGAGCGACAGGGACGTGGGGAAGGTCTGGAGAGCGGGGATGCCGAGGGGATGTCGGTGCTGATCTCCTCTCGTGAGCAGCTGCCGGGGGACA